TTGAGCCTTCTTTAGACCAATTCTTTCTTTCCTTCAATCTATGCCGCGGGGGGCATTCCCATGCCGGAGGCTACGCCAATCTACAACAGGTCCCCGCCTGGAGGCTGTTTTCAGAGGTCCCTTCGTCCCACAAGGGGTGGAAGGACAAATTTTGCTACATTCGCATGAGGGTGAACCCATTTCCGGGGCCTCTCCGTTATCATTTCTGAAGGCACCTCAAGGTCGGGAGCGCTGCCCTAGAGAGCAATGTAAGGAAGCTTACAGCGAAGCCTAAGGGATCCAATAAGCTTCTGACGATAAAGTCTGCTACGCTCCCGGAGGAGCTGTTTAAGTTAGACTTTCGGCGGTTTCAACTGATGGGGGAGGCGGATACGCGATACCCTCTAATTGATCGAGTATATGAGAGCGTCGAAGGTGTCTTACCGCAGGCTCCCTATACTTGTACTTAGGATTTTTTCTTTTGTTCTTGTATAGTAGCATCAACTCATGCACCTTTCTCTTCCTTCGCAGGTCCAGTCATGGATGTTAACAATTTTGCCGCTCTGAAGAAGAAGTTGGCTAAGGAGCCAAAGAAGAAGAAGGAGGCGGGTATCCAAAAACCCGTCGACGATTTCTTCAAGAAGGATGGGGCTGCTCAATTCCCGGAGGGTGAGGGGCCCTCCAAGACTGCTGTTGCCGGTACTGATGCCGGAGGCTCCAAGGTAGAGGAGCTCAAGAGAAAGAATGTCGGGAAGAGCGTCCTGCCTCCGGAGAAGGAGGAGGAGGAGGAGGAGGAGGAGGAGGAGGATGCCCCTGTTATCGTTGTTGAGGAACACTCTTCCTCCTCCCCCTCCGGCCATGGCGAACATTCCTCCCTCTCCCCGGGACCCGGTTAATGACATGTCCTGGCCCCGGGAGAATGTGCAGTTCTCCATTACAAAGGGAACTGCCATCATGCATGGCACCCTCAACTTGAGGGAGTTCTTGAGGGGTGCCACCCCTCCGACAGATAAGTCAGTGCTGTCCAGGTTCAAGGACGATGCCCTCGGCGCTAAGGTCCTTCAAGCCTCCGTCACTGTAAGATCCTCCTCTTCCTTTTCTCCTTAGTTGATTTGACTTAGCACATTTTGATTTTAGTAGTTTAACTCTTGTTGTCTGATGGTTCAACTCGTAGGCTGCCCTCGGACTTGGTGAGCTGCTCCAGAGGATGGAGCAATCCCACACCCAGAAGTTGCAGGCTGATGCGGCCCTGGCCGAATCCCGTAGGCAGCTTCAGGAGTAAACAGCTTGCGTGTTTACTTCATCTGTCTTACTAACCTAACTGTGACTTTAGGAGCGAAGTAAACACCTCCCTAGTGATCGCCCTTGTCAACCCTCAAAGGAGTTCAATAGGAGTAATATTTTGATCATTAATCCATTTAAGAAAGCAAAAGTGATATTTTAAGGTGCACTAGACTTAGTATATATTGAATTTTCATTTGTAATACTCCCCCGTCCCTAGTAACTTTGGCATGTTTGACCGACACGAGAATTAATAAAGTAAAAACTGTGTAGTTGAGGTTTGTGCAGAAGAAAGAAAATTAACTGGAACCACAAATTCTTTACTTAAATGGGAAAGTGGCAAAGTTAATGGAACATCCAAAAAAGGAAAGTTGACATAATTAAAAGAAAGGGACTACCTAGTTACCTACAATGTATTATACGAGTAATTTTTATTTTATCTTATTAGAAAATGAGTATAACGTATCAACATTGTAAATTGTGCACATAGTATCAATGTCCCTTTCCTCCCACAATTCTATATGAAGTACGTAGTACTACGTATCTTGTAATGAATCGTGTAAAAATAAACCAAGATCTGTGAGGGAGTGTTTGCAACTGCTTCTACTTAAAAAAAAACTTTTGGAGATGTAAGGAAAAAATGATTAGTAGTAAAAGTTGATAGTGTTTGAGAAAAAAGTGATTTTGGAAAGTAAAAGTTAGTAGTGTTTGGTAAAATAAGTGTTTTTGTGTAATAGAAAAGAGAAAAACAATTTCTACACGCAAGCCGAGAAAAAGTAAAATTGATAGTGCTTGGTAAATAAGTGTTTTTCTAAGCCAAAAGATGAGAAGTGTTTTTTTTTTAAATCCTTACAAACAATCCCTAAGTATCGAATCTGCTCGGCTGCTCCGTGTGTGGTCCAATCCACATTACCTCATATTTACCTTCAACTCACAGTGTCGCTTTAATATGTGTAATAACATCTAGTGTCGTTAACGGAAGATAAACAATAGATCTATTTATAAGAAATATAAATATGGAATTTTATTTAATACAAAATAAGAGCCCTAAAATGTCTCTTGTGTCTATGTCATTTTGCTTGGCACAACTGAAGAAATTACATCCTTTCAACAATTGGATTTTTTGACACATTTCCAACATCTCAAAAGCAGCTAAAAATCTAAAAACTTTTTCTCTCAAAGATGACATGTTTTATATACTAGTGTATATAAGCAAAATAATATGTTCCCAAACCCTTGGGCGGTTGGGCCAGTCTAAGTGATCCGATCACCTCAAAATCTCTGCCAATTCCTCCCGCCCAACACCAATTAGCTTCACTTGGATAAAATCATAAAATGAACTGATAACGCCACTAAAAACAGCATATATTGGCTCGAGGGGCTGGCTGAAACATAAAAAACAAACATGTGCATATTCACAAACAAATAAAGAAATAGTGACATATTAATGACCATTTCTAATATGAGCGACAGTTTTTACTGGTGCTGTCACCGGTCTGCACAATGTCGGTCATTTTTTTGTTCATCACCTTTGATTTAGTAATATACTATCGTATGCAATAGGTAGTAGAAAAACTCCAAAAGAAACACTCAGTACAGAAATTTTGGTTAATTGTTATCATTTGCATACAAACCGTCACAAATAATATTGAAGATGTAGTTGTGAAGGACTACAGATATTATAATATCTTACACACATGCGCCCAGAAACACATCAGCTTGTAGAAGGCAGAGTAGGAAGACTTGGCACAACAGAAGCCTGATACATGCCAGTTGCTAGCCTCCCCGTTATATCCTCCACACTCACCTTCACCACATCTCTACGCGTCCCAATATCAGCGGCATATCGGCTGGCACAATACACCCCAACAGCCATAGCTGCCATCCCATACACATTTGTCGTGACAAGCCGCAGCGGTGACGATAAAACAGCTGCCAGAGGCCCGCCTATTATAGACACCGCCTGCCCGCTCCGCCCCATCGAACTCCTCTCATCCACCACGAGCAAACCCGTCTTGCAATAGATCGCAAAATCCTCACAGTTGTTCTTGAACACATTGTAACACCCAAACCCGTTTCTAAGAAGGTGATTTGCCCGGTGCACCACATCCTCATCTGGATCTGGGACTGCAAGGGAGCAAGTTCCCCCACGTACCTTTGCGAGGAAAAGAGCAGGGTTGACCGAGTATTCAAATCGGTAGAGGATGCCGCCGGCAAGGAAGCAGTCCAGGCACGACAAGTGGACCCCGTGGCTGTCTCTTGAGGGGGTGCACGTGAGACAAGGCACATGGGACCGGGAGGGTCCGGAGCTTACCAGGAGGACATCCAACACAGTCCCGGTCCCCACCTCTTGACCATGTCTGGTGAAGTGGATGACTTTATTCTCACCAACATAGATACCTGTCACAAGGCAAATCTTTCATTCATATGTCTTTTGAATCATTCACTCATTTATTCATAAACCTTAACAGTACTATGAAAGCAGATGTTGAGTGACACCTCATAGAGTTGGCAATTGACTAAACATTCTTGATTAATTACTTGTACCCCATGAGACTTGATCAAATGACCTCAAGATTCTAAAAACTACAAAAAAGTCCCTTGACCATTAAATTTTCATTAAACTATTTTTTTTAACAGAAAGAATCAAAGAATGTACTTCATCCTAAATAAATGTTCAAATGCACTATTTCTGCAATCAATTTAACTTTTTTATTTTTTTATAGCTAGGCCTCTCTTACCAAATATTATTAATAAAAGAAAATTACATGGAGGACATGGTGCATTACCCCAAGAGTACACAAACAGTATTGCTAACAGCAAACTTCTCTAATGTGGTTGAGGGGACGAAGATGTGTTGATAAAAACAGCAAAGGAGAGAGGTCCGCTCATCTTGCTAACCAAAATAACTACTAAATTGGCTTCCATTGAGATATAAGAGAAAGTGATGTCCATGTTTGTAGCAATATCGAGAATAAGAGAGGCAGTGTGTTGAGAATCTTTATCTACAGATTTTTTATGTTTGGTGAGAATACAGTAGGCTGGAGGTTTTTTATAATAGTTTCATACAGTATCATACTTGATCAGTTTTGCAGTTAAATATAACTTTCAGTACAGTTTCATGTTAATACTGATTTCAACATTATCATGGAATAATTAACTTTGTTGATTGGTCAATTATCATAAAACGAATCGAGAACCTGAAATTATGAATGAGGTTAAAATATAATGAAATTAACAAAATGGCGTGTTTAAATTGAATTTGGTGTTTTTAACATTGTCCCCACTAAAACATATAAAACTTTCCTCAAAAAGGATCTCCAAACACACATATAGAGTCCGAAAAACTCAATGCATAGTAATATAGTTCTACAAAAATAACTTATCATCTTTTGGTGTTAAAATTTTTTACTTGCCAATGAGCTTATTTGTAGCTTTTAGCAACTCCGGGGTTATTTGTTAATTTGAGTATTTGACCATATCTTGAAGGAAGTGGGTGTAATTAATCCAACATTTTTCAACGGCAAGTCATCTAGAAAGAGGTAGTTTTAGAAGTAAAAATGCAACTTCACAAGGTCGGCAGCAAAAGAAAAAATGAAGTACTAATGGAAACAGTTCAAACTAAAGCATAATAACCATTCACATACACATGATCATATTCCCAATTTGAACAATCAATGACTACTATCACTTGAATAGAAATTTGCCTATCCATAGAATATACAAAACAATCTTGAGAGGTTGAAATATAATAATAACACCAATAGAAGCATTTTGTGTACCCGCTAAGGCAAAGTGGCAAACAGTAGGCTCTAGGCATATGAGATATGACTAATACCACACTTTAGTAAAATCAGTATTTGATAAAAAGTATTTAAAACAAAAACAAAAAAAGAAGCAGCCTCATTGTGAAGTTGTGGATAAGCTATTCAGATGCCGAGGAGCTCAGACTTATGTATGTATGCATTGATGTTTGAAGTCACCTTCTTAATTATATATTTATGGATTACTTTTGGCAATTACATTAGATGATACTGCATTCATCCCTCAGTAATTGTCATTTTACAAAATTTCAGACATGCTAAGGAGCTAGGTGGTGTTTGCATTTAATTGTCATACCAAAACAATAGTTAGAGGAGTTAGGTAGTAGTGCACGTGAGACCGAATTTATACAGTAAGTGTTTAATTGTAAATTTTGAGCATTTTTGAAAATAAAAACAGAATTTTAAAAGTAGAAGATGAAGTGTTTAGCAAAAAAAATCTTAGCATATTAGTTAGGTTAAATAGTTAGGAAAGCCGGAAAGGTGAAAAACAGCTTTCCGCACCATTTCTCTGGCTTATAGCTTTTATCTTTAAGTTGCTTAAGAGACCATTTAAAAACACCACTTTAAGCTTCTTTAAACAAAGGCACCTATGTGTACTGTTTTAAGCAAATGCAAAGTTGCAAACACTCATTTAATACGGTCCATCTTGTAAGATTAGTATAAACAACATATTGAGTTCTATTCTGGGGAGAAATAGATTATTTTGGACGGAGGGAGTATGTATGAGAATATCTAGTTCATCAGTTCACTTATAATTGTAGTTCTATTTACATTGATCCATTCACCAATCTTACTTCTCCTATCCGCCTTCCTCACCTCTACACCAACAACTAGCATCCTCGATATGCAGAAACAAATAATAAACAAATGACCACATATATCTTCACAACAGTAAGGCTTAATTAGCATATCAAGCTTTTCCCCAGAAATAAATACTCATTTGCTGCTAAAACAAATTATTAAAGCCACGAAAAAGGATACCAACAATTATCCCAAATCGTGTAATCAGATAAAAGATCACATCTTAATCCAGATTAGATAACAGGCATAGTAGTACAGACCATGGTGAGAATAAACGTAAGCAGTGCGCCAAGAATATATATGATCCCCTGCTTTAAGGCTGCTCCGATCGATTCTGGTAACGTTAAAATGGCGGTTAATCACTGGGGAAGCCATCAATCATAAACGGATAAAATAAGAAAGATATGAAAATTAAAAGTACGATAATCGAATTCTACCTGTTGGAAAGCAATCCCATTTCCCTCGGTTCGGTTTCAACCCGAAATTGCTCCGGGGGTAGGGATCTAGATGTAGCAAACCAGAACAACCTTTGCAGATATCCAAGTGTGTGACGTAACGGGCACCGCCTCGCATTTTTCTTTCTTTTTCTTTTTAAAAGAAAAATACAAATAGATAATTGCTCAAATTAGGACAATACTTTTAAATTTTAATGTCATAATTCTCTTTTGGGATCATCCCTTAATAAAAGTCTCTTCTTCTTTTTGGGAAAACTAAACATTGCAAAAAATGTCATATCATGTCAAACAATGCCCAATGGTGCCAAACAATCACATTTCTTAAAATGTGTGTAAAATAAATGAGGATCTTTATATAGGAACGGAGAGTAATTAATATCTATCATGTGTGTACTGCACTAGATGTTTCTTTGAACTGTTTTATGTCCCAGATCAGATCATAACATATCAGAACAAATCAGACTTAAATAGACTAGACCAGATCATATCAGACTTAAATAGACCAGACCAGACATACCAGACTTAAATATACCAGACCAGATTAGAGTAGACCAAACCAGACTTGGACAGTTTATAAAAGGAAAAATTGATAGTAATAATATCAACTATTGGTGGTCTTCTCATAATAATTCCAAGTATCGATTATTTCATAATAATCCCTACTTTAGAAACCTTCCGCCAATAAAGGTCCGACGTGACCGGCTATAAATAAATTTCTATAGTTTCTAAAGTGGATGAGAAGAGATATAACAAGTAATCCTTATAAATAATTCTAACTTTTAATTTTTGCGCTTAATTTCTATTTAAAATTCACTTGTTATAGGAGGTAATATCTAGTCATAGACCATTATTGAATATTGACGGACGGTCCATATAGTTGGGACTTGGGATTATACAAACATAATCAATAGTTGGGATTATTGTTAGCGGACCGGCAATAGTTGAGATTATTATTTTCAATTTTTGAAGTAATGTTCATAATAACATGGAAGTCCATTATATGATTTAATGCACCATCCTCTGAAGCAATGTTCATAATAACACAAATTTTTTTCAACACTTTAACTACCTATTTTGGAATCTTTCGTCCTGAACCTTGCAAGTTGCAACACTCCTCCAACACAGAAAGTGTACCCTTGATTTCAATTATGCAGTGCTAGAGTTTAGCAATTGCTGATTCTGCTCTAATGATTCTATCGTCCACCATGTTTTCACGAACCCTCCCCTCCAAACAATTGTGTTGTGAAACTTGTTGCTTTATTCAGTGATGGGGCGTTTCTTATTGTTCTTACTTTGTCCGCAAATTAATTTACCCATTTCAAAGACTAAAATGCAAAAATAAAACTCCTCTACTAATGTGACAAGGATATGACGTGGAAATATACTTCAATTTGATTGGCTTAAAAGATTGGGTACCGGTACATAGTAAATTAAGCAAGGTACACTAGAATTATCCTTTTTTTAACAAAAAATTAGTACCCACATTTGTACTCCCTCCCTTTTGCCTGTGTATACAGGCAATTCGTTAAGAAGAAGACATCATTTATCTCCCAATTGTCTGTGTACACTTTTGTACACATGCAATGTACAAAAGTATGTACAAAAGTGGGGAAGAAGATGTAGTATGACTTATCCATTCCCCTCCTAAACCATTGTCATTGAGGGATTGTGTGGCTAGGTTTTGGAAGATTCCCTTCAAGTTAGGATTTGGTCACACGCTATTCATTACTCTATATTTCTTTCCAATGCTATTTATGCTTCTTTAGACTTTTTATTCTGTTTTTTATTTGTTTGTGATAGTGACTTTTTTTAGGTGCTTGTGGTCGTTATTTGCCTCGAATCTCTTGTATGTTCAATGAAAAGTTTCGCTCTAATTTGAGTGAACTTTTTATGTGTCCGATCATGGACTGAGGTGACTTTTCCGCTATTTTGATTTTGTTGATGTGGTAAAGAGGACGGTGACCTTAAGTGTCAAGTAGAATTTATGTTGTCTGTGTGGTGGTTAGAGATTCAAGTTGTTTCTTTGGAGGTGGCCGTCTCGGAATCTAATCGTATGACTTTTTTGAGTCTAGATGAAGTTTATTAGGAGATAGTTGGATTTTGATTTATTGACTGGTTGTAACTGTAAAACATTAGTTAAATTAATATAGTTTAACGTTTTTCCTTTAAAAAAAAATATCATTGCATGTTTTTTCTTTAAATAAGATTAAATATTATATCTAATTATCTATAGGGTTTTGTCAATAATATTACTAAATAGAAACTCATGGACAAAAATGGCACTACTTTTAAATGTTTCTGACCAATTACAGTTCCCTAACCGGATTAATTGCAGTTACCAGACTCGATCAATTACAGTTACAGTTAAACCACCTAGTAACATGATTTTCAAACAAATCTACTGTGCCACCGCCGCGCCACAACCCGCATAATGCCCCTCCCACGCCCAGCCCAACTCCCTTGCCCCAATAACCTTGTTCCCCAACCCTCCCCTTACCCAGATCCAGTTCCGCCCAAACCAGCCTCGATACACTTCTCCCCAGTCCACCGCCACTGGCCCTAACTAACAAAAGCTAGCCGTCAGATCATATATGGAATTAGACGTATGCAATCGAGCCGCCACAATAAAACTGTAGTTTAATCGGAGTCTTCCTCGCTTGTCCAGCACCGCGCTCGAATTCACCCCCTTCGCTCTCAGGGAACCGTTGCCATCCCCGCGGCCAAACATGAGCATTTATTAACTACTTTTTAAAATAGTGTGGGGAAGCGCGGACTAAGTCTTGACCAGAGTGCAGTCTCTATAAAAATGCAGGTAGCAAGACAGGTCCAAACTTGAAAAAAGATCCCCTAGGATCAGTACAACTGGTACTCGTGCGGGGAGGTAACATTATAAGATATGTAATGATCATTTATAAATATGACCCTCAATACAACTCTATTCATCAAAGTGATCTATTTCTATAGGTCCAAATCCTTCATACTTATGTGTTAAGACATGTTTAAAAGCCTACCATTGTGTTAGAGTATAGTTCATTGCTATACCTTAACCTTTGAAGTAGTAACTCATTTTGGCAGTCTGCTCCTAAAGGTTTTGGCAGTCAGCTCCCAATTCTGGCAATGCAACCATCTCTTTCAGGTTCGACAACTGGCTCCTTGAGTCAGCTGATTCTGGCAAACACATTTGAACCTTGTTTCATCACTCTCCTCACAACTAAAAGGGTCATAACCTTTGTTTCTATAAAGTGTCACACTCTTGAGGTCAAGACTTCCGCTATAGGTTTCAATATCTCCCAAAAGATATTGGAACTCATTCTGTTAAGAGGAAAAAGGGTTGAAAAGTGAAAAGATTTAAAAGTCTATTCACCCCTCACCCGCCCCCCGCCCCCCCCTCTCGACTTTTACATCACTTAGGACCCATCATGTACCATAATTGGAATAGGGTTTATATGCATATACACTATAGCAGACCTGTATAAACAATCATACATAATATATATATATATATATATATATATATATATATATATAGGTTTTGGCTCAAATAAGAATACGATCTTATGAGAGAAATGAGAATGAATCTGAACCGTTAGATTTGCTATCAGTGTGCATTAGATGAAACTGTAATGTGCATTAGGTGAAATTGAAATGTGTAGCACAAAGGGTATGATACAGTGGCATTATGTGAAACTGAATTATGCATTAGGTGAATTTGAAATGTGCACTACATGAAACTAAAATGTGCAGAGTAAAAGGTATGCTGTGATTTCATTTTTGTACTTTTTATTCTGCACATTTTAGTTTCACCTAATGCACATGTGAGTTTAAATTTTTATTCTGCACATTTTAATATCATCTAATGCACATTTCGGTTTCACTAAATGCACAATTCAGTTCCACATAATTCAATACAACGGTCCAGATTCGTTCTCATTTCTCTCCTAAGATCCGTTCTTACCGGAACCGGTCCCTATACATACGTACATATATATATATATATATAGATTTAGGATCAAATGAGAACAACCCTTAACGTGAGAACGTGAGAACACCACATTTACCCAAATGTAATGCACAATGAGGCTCGCCCAATGCACATTTTCGCGTTCGGCATAGTATTTACTAAAATGCCACCGCATTATTTATATAGGCTTATTTTGAGCTAAACCCAAATGTGCACCTGACGGGCTCAATTGTGTATCACGCTGGGTTAATTGTGAGTGTTCTCACGTTCTCACGTTAAGCATCGTTCTCACTGGAACCGCACCCTATATATATATATATATATATATATATATATATATATATATATATATATATATATAGAGAGAGAGAGAGAGAGAGAGAGAGAGAGAGAGAGAGAGAGAGAGGGGGAGGGAGGGAGAGAGAGAGAGAGTGAGAGAAGATCAAGTGAGAAGTGCCCCTGAAAATGAAAAGTGAGAAGTAATCTCAGCCCTTGGATTTGCATCTGATCTTACAACGCATTAAACTTATAGACTAAATATAGGAACTTATAACCAATAAATCATAACTTATAAAGCTCTCCATAATAATTACGAAAATGCCACCACATCATTTTTTTTCCAGATTTACGTAATTATTTTTTAGTGGTGGCATTTTCGTAATTATTTTCGAGGGATCTATAAGTTATGATTTATTGGTTAAAAGTTCCTATATTTAGTCTATAAGTTTAACTTCGCAGTTCTCAGCCTAAGAGCACTTCTCACCTGATCCATAGACCTGCAGAAACAACCATACATATCTCCTAGCTATGTCCTCCCCATGGCAAAATCTCTTTCCATATCAAATCTAAAACCAGAAAAAAAAAGTTGGTTCATAAGAAAGACCTTATCTATAGTAATACCATTTTGAATGGATAAGCTTAGGTCAAAGAAAAAGACTGACTCTCTCCGGGAGCTATCGAGGCCTAAGGTGGGGGCCATTATTGGCTTCAAACAGTGAAGGTTATTTCCTCTAACACTGCGGTTGAGAGAGGCCGGCGAAGCTTCTCGAAACACTAAAACTATCACCAAACTATATACCTACAAATAAGCCCCCTAATTAGTGCCAAATAGAGAACAAACATAAGACAACCTTCTTTCCTTTTCACTTCTCATTCATCATTATTTTGTTTTAATTTTTTGTTTATAAAATAGAGCTATCAAATATGATAGAATGG